GTATCTGGGTATAGCTGTGCCTCAGTTGGAAGAATTCCACTCAGGATAAGCTAAGCAGCTGCCACCTGTTGTGAGAAGATAGCTCTCCCCTTTTCTGACAATGTTCTGGAATCTGGGTAAAACAGAAGAGGAAATCCTCTTCTCCAGGATTACGTTTTTAAATGAGTGGCTCCAGTGTCCCCCTTTTATCCAGAAAACAAGGCCCAAACAGTCCATGGTGCTTAGGTAAGCCACCTATCAAAATAACAATAAATAAAGGATTTTTAAAAATAGTAAAAAGGACAAAGTACCTATTTCAGGAATAAGAGAGCTAAACTAAGTTTTGAGGCCTCCAACTATATGCAAACTTGAGCAATCATTAACCATTGCAACTCAAATTTAAAAAAAAAACACACCTTAGAATGTGAACAAGAGTAAAAACTGCCAGGGTTTCTGAACCTTGGCATGTTTAAGATGTTTGGACTTCAGGTCCCAGAATTCCTCAGCCAGCTATCCAATTAAACACAGAAGCAACTGAAAAGAAGTAAAACATTCCTAATGCTTCAGCCTGTACTTCCCCTGTCAGTTTTACCTATAGATTCCAATCCTTCTTCTTGAAAAGATCTGAGTCCCAAAAAGGAAATCTATTGCTATAATCCTTGCTACAGGTAGTCCTCGACTTATGACCGCAATTGGAACCAGCATTTCCATTGCTAAGCAAGATAGTTATTAAGTGAGTCCTGTCCAATTTTACAACCCTTTTACCAAGATTGTTCAAGGAATTACTGCGATTGTTAAGCGAATCAAGGGGGCCATTAAGCAAATCGGGATTCTGCTATTAACTTGGTTTGCCAGAAGCCACTTAGAAAGGTTGCAAATGATGATTACACAGCCCTGGGATGCTGCAACCATCGTAAATGCATGTTGCTGAGTGCCTGACTTTTGATCAATTGACTGTGGGGATGTTACGACTCTGGTAATTGCAAAGACTGATCATAAGACTCTTTCTTCAGTGGTGCTGTAACTTTGAACAGTTGCTAAATTAATGGCTGTTAAGTTGAGGACTACCTGTACTGGCTTGGGAGGAAAGTCAAATTGTCCATCCCATCTTGAACCCTATCCCTGACTTTTTCGCTGGAAAAGAATACTGGCTTTATACTGCTTTGGAATATCTAGAGTACCTCCACTCTCCCTGCAGACTCTCAAATCCATTACAGTAACCACTCTGAAGAGTCTCTGGTGTTCCCCAAGCTTGGTTGTTTTGTTGTAGACCAGGGGTGTCAAACTCAAAGCCTGGAGGCTGGATTCCGGCTACGGGGTGCTTAGATCTGGCCTATGGGGCCACCCTGATACAGCAAAGGAGTGGCCCATGGTGCCTCTGCCAGCACAAATGGAGTTTGGGCGGGGTGCATGCGCCTCA